TTATTTTTAATTTAAAATTTCGTTGAATTACAATAGACATGTACTTAAAAATCTGGTTTAGTCGATTTTCACATCGTAATCATTTTCAAAGCAGATTTGCCAGTAGGTTAAGAAAAAGGGCCCAAAACTAAGTCTCCAAGTTCAATTTATCGTTGAGCGATTGGGCCACGTTTTCTAGAGAAGAGCGCATGTATTATGCATGCCGATCAAACTCTACTGGCAGGAAAGTAACTCCTTCGATTCATTTCTTTTTTCTTTGAACATACGTTTATATAACTGGACTATATCTATCTTTAAAATGGTCGATTCGATATCCTCGGATCTAGAAAGCAATGAGCAGTATTTCTGTAAGCATTCCACCGAGTGCCCCTTTCTACTATCTGGTTCTGTAGTGGACCGCTGGTTTAAAGTTAGAATTTCACGCATCATGCCAATCAAAGATGGCGTTCCTCAAAGAAGTATCGTAGGACATACTGGCATATCCAAACATTCACACAACCTGCGCGGACTGCAATCCTATTAACTCCGGCTGCCCATATCCTAGCAACAGAAGCAATCCAAGAACACATAGATGCACTCGGTGACGGATCAAGTTAAACGAGACAAAACCCATCAATGTTTACGCCAAGTCGTCAGAGTGCCAACCAGTGCACATTAACAACAATCATTCTATTCAATCAAATCCGTTATCTTGGGCTTTACTTGGATAGGACACTTGTACACACTAGACTTAAAAGTCATGAACTGATGAACACATGATAAGCACATCTCAGACGCTGCCTAAGCCGAAATCGCTGAAAAAAACAAACTAACCAACACGAAACAAAATTCATTATACCTATTTGGATTTACCGAATCGAGCTGTGGAGCTCGGCCAAATCGTCTTATATCCAACGAATCCGATACTTTCAATCCTCCAACCTTTCACAAAGAGGTGTGTCCACAAATACGTGCCCACGATTTCCACTCCATACTATCGACTAAACCCACTAACCCTCTAGTCGTAGGTCTCTTATAAAAGTCCCGCTATTATAATCCACCTCGTATATCGATGGCCCAGAGACCATCTATCCTAGACAAAACTAACTAACACAGAGTTCCTACACTGGCTGTCTTCTTTCCCCACCGCACCATTGTCTAACGGATCTATCAGATGATCTATTATTTTTCAACCACTTCATATGTCGCCGAGAATCGAATCCTGATTACACAACATTTGAAAAATGGCAAAAAGGAGGAAAAATTCGAAAGGTGGGTTGAGGTGGGAAGTAAGTGTCCGAGTGGATCGAAGTCACGATAACTCAAGTGGTTAGAGCAGCGGCGTATTGAGCCGAAAGATCGTGGGTTCGAATCCCGCTCGTGACACTGACTTTTTATCTCAATCAATACCTTACATAAAGATTAATTAATTGAAAAAAGTTAATTGGTCAATCGGACCACGAATTCTAATAGATTTAATGTCCAACTGTTTCTCATTCACCGGAAAAAATGCTTGTAATTTTTTGAACGTAGCTACTATCGATGCGAAACTACTTTAAAGAAAATAATCATAATTTGTCTTAAATTGGCTTAATCAATCAACACTAATGCAATTTTTATTATCATTAAAAAATCATAAATATTAGCTTCTTTTTTAGGTTCGGATTATAGTGCACCGGAGCTTAAAATTATAGAAACAAGTCTCATTTTACGAATGGTGAAATAGCATTATATTCTGAATTGCTGTAGAGGAACGTGAATAGAATGGCCGCCTTGGAATCAGTATAATTCTCTACATTGTATGAAAATCCCTCGATTAAATTGTGAATGAGGAGGCGAAGCAAAAGAACGATATTCATATTAACGATCTAATTCCATTTATTATCTGTGAAAGTCGACTTTTTTTCTCAAAATAATTCTGAAATATATTCCTGATCAAAGTTCTCAAAAATGTTCTCCGTTGATGTTCGCCCAATAACCCCATTTTTCCCTTTTATTCTATCTCCTTCATTTCCATAATTAAATAGTAAGCTCGTTTGAACTCCTTTCATCGGCGGGCCTGTTCTGCAATTGCAAAACCAATTTCATTGAAAACGTTCGGAGTATACCCCCTTGACCAAACGTTTCCTACTTGTTCTACCCGAAAAGGAATAAAAGTGTTCCGACCAAGCTTTAAGCGATCTATTAAAGTAATTAAGTGTGGGTGGTGAAAATAAAATAAAGAGAGTGGGTCTGAGTGAAGGGTAGTGAACAAGAAACACAAATATCAACACCAAAGTTAACCTCCGTAAACCCCGAGTAAAATAAACAAGGAAGTTGTGCAACAGAAATAATATAGTTAAAGAGTTAAAAATTAAAAAGTTGAACCAAGCCTAATTCAATTGAATAAATATAAGTATACATTTCTTTACGGCTAACTAACAGAAATAGTCAGCCTAAGAGCTCATACTTCTCGTCACTTACAGGTTCTTACAAATTAGGGCGGAAAATATTGAAGAGCCGGCGGCCCTCTTGTTAACAAACCTTTTAAGGCTTAAGTGTATATCTGGACGTAAGAGGAGACTTTTATCAAGTACTTTTGTGTTAGTGCTAGAATTTTAAATGGCCAATTAAGATGTGCTCACTTGGTGAATTAATAATTAGCATAATGATTGGCAGTTAACTTGTGATTATAGTTGCTGTCATACTAAAGGACCAATCAAAGTCTTATTAAATTTACTTAATAAAAAAACCCTCCACTTTGTTTATTTTTAAGAATTTTTTTATTTAAGAAAAACAATATAAAGTTTTTAAACAATATTTTGGGGCCGCGGTAGCCGAGTGGTTAAGGCGTCAGACTCTCGGCTAGTAAATCCCGCGGTCGTGGGTTCGATCCCCATGTCGCCTCTGTAGTTTTTTTCTGACGCCTAAGGGGACCGGTGGCCGCAATTGAAAGAAATTGACACGGCACTCATTAATGGAAGGGCGCCCCTGAATTTTGTCCCAACCCCCTCGATGGAAGAACACCGGCACATCGTGTGCTCAAATTCACACTGGTGTTGCGAGCCCCAAAAGTGGAGTTACAATTAACACATAATTGTAAATAATATTGAAGAGTTAAAAAAATAAGTTAATTTAATTGTGTTAATCATTATTAGGTGTTAATATCATATTGAGCGAAAAAAGAATCCATAGTATTGCTTTATTTTTATATAGTAAATATGCCTTGTAATTTTTAATTATGTTATTGTTATTATGTTTAATTCATATGGGAGCATGATGAGCAAATTTAAAAAACAAATGGAGACAGGTATAAAGTACAATAAGCTGTACAGCTGCAGTAGTCGGGAGGAATTCCTCCAGTTCCTGGTATCGATTGTTTAAAAAAAATGATTGTAGCAACCAGAAATTTATAACAAAAGTCATTTGTAAATAATGGCAAACGAGTTGTCAAATAAAAATATTGCATTATGTCAATAAGATTGCTACACACACGTATATTTTGAAATGACAAATATTTGAGCCTCGTCTTGTCTCTTTTTCACCTACATCTCCTCACCTCATCACTCTAAAAATGAACTAGGGTCGGAGAGAAAGGTTTACAACGGCATTTCCAGAGCTTTTCCAAAGATCAAAGCTACACGACCCGCGTGTATCGAACAAATCTCCAGTGACATTTAGACTTGGTCTCCCTGACAACGTTCGCAATTGTTTTGTTTTTTCAAATACCGGAGGTATTATTTCGGTACTTTTTTTTATGTAATTTGTGTGTTACTAATCCTATCTAGGTATAATCTCGCTGGGTTGGACTGTCAGACTCGTTTTGCCATATAAATTGTTGGGTCCTCTGAGTTTGAAGTCTGCCTATTTTTGTACACTGTCGAGTACTTTTTGGCATAATTAATTAATACTGTAAATTATTGAGGATTTCTAAGGAATAAGCAGATTTTTCGTCATTTTTAAATAACCATGTGTTTTTTGTGTCTGTCTTATTTTCTTGCTGATCTGCCCGATGTTTTCTCTTCATCAGAAACAATAATCTACCAAATGCATCGACCGACTATGATAACTCCTTCCCACGCCTCTCATCCCTCACGATCTTATAAAAAATATGACAAAAAAATCACCCTGACCTAACGCTGAATACGGTGAAATGCCGATACGAGTCGACCAAACTGGCTAAATAGACCAAAATGACCAAATTACAGGATCATCAGCAAAAGGTACGGTAGACTTCCAATTATCCGGATTAATTGGGACCTGATCAGGTCCGGTTAATAAAATTGGATTTCTTCTAAAAAAGATATTTTAGGCAACATTGCAAATAAAAATTTCATATTCTGTATATCGTACTATCCATGAAAGGAACTAGCATATACTATCTTGCATAGTTCAAATTAAAAATAAACAGGTAATAAATTAAAAATAAAACAAAATAGAAATATGTCAATATATTGTAGAATTATTCAAAAATCGTGAGATGCGGTCTGGTGTGATGTAGATTTCAGAAAAACATTTTCTTTATCGTGCCAACGTTTCGATATTTATTGAGATCATCTTCAGGCTTGAGTACTCTCAACACGACACGCAAGAATGGCACAATTACACAGAAGACAAACACTTTGAGCCCTGAAGATGATCTCAATAAAGATCGAAACGTTGGCACGATAAAGAAAATGTTTTTCTGAAACCTACATCACACCATACCGCATCTCACGATTTCTGAATAATTATCGATTAACGGTCACTAATCACCATACATATTGTAGAATTTAAAACATTATAAAAAATAATAGACAATAAATAAATCTTATCTTATCTATCTTCCTTATTGTTGAGGAAAGAATAAAAACCGACTTACAATATACAATTAAAAAACAATTCGATTAAATAATGGGTTTATAGGGGTTTGAATTACAGACACTCAGTTTGTTTTATATTTTAATTTCTCCTTTTAAAACTCAATTTTGCTTCTCAAGAATGTTTCGAGTAATTAGAGTTCTACTGTACCGTAGAAATATCTCACTGTTTTTGTTTTTCAGAGTCGGCATGACGGGGAGGAAATACCAGTGGCTTCTGATGGGAACTTACAGCCCATCCTGGTGGTTAGACCCGGCTCCGTGTCCCAGCCACACACTTGCTCAGGCTTTGGACGGCGTCATTTTGACAGATCTTCTTCCGCTGGCTACTAGTGGAGAAATAACGATATCGGGAATTGTAAGTATCAAGTTTTAATCATTTCACAATCCTATAATAAAAACACCAAAACAAACCTTAAACGTGACTTGTTTAGTCACTTAGTCAATTTCTAATATTTACGATATTTAAATTATTTTCTAGCTTTTTTTAATTTAAAACATAGAAAAAGGTGATATACAAGCTGTCATTTGTAAGGTGGTGAGTTGTGAGGATTCTTAGAATATGTAAACCGCCTTTACAATCCTAACTAGCCGTATTCGCAAACTTCCTGTTCCATGTGGGGTCATTTGGTCGAAAATTCACGGCATTCCGTCGGAAGTTTCATTTAACAAAGAGTTACTGTGTTGTAAATGAACTTTGCCCTTTTTGCCTCAGTAGTTATAAACGTACTTTCAATTGACGTCATTCAAACGCTGGTCAATTAACAGTTTTATCACGTTTCGAACATCAAACGGACGCAAAACGCCGACTAATCTCAATTTGACCAACAATCTCCAACGGTTGTTCAACAATCAATGAATCTTGGAACCGATGGCTCATTTTTATGACGTTGAATTGAATTATTTATAATTAAAATAAGTTCTGCTTTCATCGAGACAAAAAGTAAACACTGCCGGTTTGTTTTACATTATAAACTCGTCATGATCTATATTTACTAATGATAAGTCCTAAAAGATGAATATAGAGATGCGAAACGCATTTGTAAAGATGGGTCCAAACCAGCCGCCGGGAACCGCTGGGTGTAAAAATAGATATAACCCTGATAAACTGTGGCATGTTAAGAAAGACATCGGTCCATAGGAAGGAAAGACATCCTTTATTGAGGTCATCTTCAAGGCTCAAAGTGTTTGTTTTTGTCTTTCTTGTCTGTCGTGTTGAGAGTGTTGAGTTTGAGCCCTGAAGATCATCTCAATAGAGATCGAAACGTTGGCACGATAAAGAAAAAGTTTTTCTAAAACCTACGTCACACCAGACCGCATCTCACGAGCTCCAAACAATCATCAAGTAACGGTCACTAAACACCACACATTTTGGCATATCATCGGACCTGTGATAGACTTGGAGCGGACACAGATCGCTGTTCCTGTACATCAGAGCTGTAGGGATTTTTAAATGTATATAGAAATGTGTGGTGATTAGTGACCGTTTATCGATAATTATTCAATAATCGTGAGATACGGTCTGGTGTGATGTAGGTTTCAGAAAAACATTTTCTTTATCGTGTCAACGTTTCGATCTTTATTGAGATCATCTTCAGGGCCTGGGATTTACAAACATTGTTTAAATTTAACAAATACATGTAGGATGTGGAAAAAAGTGAATTTATACAATGCAAAATATATTTTTTATACTTTTAATCAAAGTATACTTAAGTAACTCAAGTAACGACAATATCAAAGTATACTTTGATTGAATATAAAAAATATATTTTGCATTGTATAAATTCACTTTTTTCCACATCCTACATGTATTTGTTAAATTTAAACAATGTTTGTAAATCCCAGGCACTGAAGATGATCTCAATAAAGATCGAAACGTTGGCCCGATAAAGAAAATGATTTTCGGAAACCTACATCACACCAGACCGCATCTCACGATTTCTGAATAATTATTGTTTATAGAGTTTTTCAAGTACGTTTGTGTTGTGTCTGTGTTGACTTTATGTTAATTTATTGGAATAAATGTAATTTATTAGCGTGAAAAGAAGGAACCCACCCCGAGGAATATCGAGTACTCTGAGGTGAGTGTGGGACGTCTGAAGAGTAAAAGTAAGTTATTTGCGAGAATGGAATGGGTTCAACCCCTAGGAATATCGCGTACCCTGGGGGAGGGAATGTGACATCTATGTTTGTGTTGATGTATATATATATATACATATTGTATGTTTAGTTTCTATTCTGTATTTGACAACCTAAGGTGCAAACGAGAGGCTAGCATTTTAGAAGATCGACGTGGTACACATTTAAAAGAAGAAAGTCAGAAACCAGATCGAGACGCTCAAATGGCTGCAGTTTAAGGAGAAGAACGAAAGAATGGAAAAAGAAAGAAAACACACAGAGGGCCGGCGCTGACCTCAGCTGTTTGTCGTCCCATAACCTTCCCACTTTATATATACTAATGATTAGACTATTAATTGGATGTTTTGGGTGTATCCTCTTTAAACTTTTATCATAACTTTCAGACACATTGATTTTCCTAGTTCCTTGAATATGTATAAATAGTATTTTTAATAGAAGATTAAAGAAAGTATGTTTTATTTAATCATTACTAATATTTTATTAGATTTTTAGGTTAATTATATATATTCAAAAGTAATGTGTTGGAAATCTTAACCTTAAATGTTTCTTTTTAAAAAACGCCTTAGGAAGAAAATATAAATTAAATTTTACATTGGCGTAAAGAAAGAAAAAAAGATTTATCCAGGGCGGTAAACATTTCTGCTTACGGGGGAATTTTCTTCCTCTAAGTACCGTACGGCATTGATCCTTTGCTCATAGGAGCCAACAACATACGAAGTTTTGCAAAGTATAATCTAGAAGAAACGAACGTAATTAGTGCCTATAAAGACGGGCAACTTTGAGATATGAGACATGTCGCAAACTAACGGCACCGTAGGAAAGGAGGGAAAAATCGTGGTAAATATCGATCCCGAGGTTTGGATATGTCAACCGCACACGACTTGATGTCATGAACCCCTTTTCGGAGGGTCGCCGTATCATTCAGCATTAAAGCATCGACACTTAACATACCATGAAATAATATTCTGCTTAGTAAAAATGCAGTTTAAATTTAATGCAAAGAAACTGAACAAAAAATCACTGCTTATTGTTAAACGTTGGTTGTACTTTTATGTTTTTAATTATGTTTTATAATGTGTATTCTTATTGTGAGCTATTGGATTATGGTTTTAATCTTTGCCAAGTAAACGTGAAGTGCATTTAACCAAATAAGGATAAGTTAATCTCATGACGCAGAATTTGACTGAACGTTCTATTAACATTACTGGAAAGTTTATACTGTTAGTTGGCTGTGTAGATGACAGTTTGGAATCCCCTAATTGACTATGCAGGCCAAAGTCGACGTAGATTATATTCCAAAATATCATACTCCACGAGTAAACTTGAAAGATGACTTACATGTAGTTGAAACATAATTTAAATTGGGAACAAAACTGAACGATAAAAAAAATCTCAATTTATTGTGCCCACCTTGTAAAAAGGGATAGAGTTCAACGGTATTTTATAAGTTTAACAAATGATTTATCTCTGACCATTAGGGTGATTCCTGCTGAAAGAGTCTCTTTAAATCCTGAGGGCGAATGTTCGCAGATGTGAGAGCTTAATGAATTCAGATAGTCCTCTGTGGTTTTCTCAGTTCGTCGGGACCAAGTTTATCCAAACCGCGAAAATGTTATTTGATAGAACTTGTTTGTTGAACAATTCCCTGTTGGACAGTTTGCGACAGCGGTTTGAACAGTTTAAATTTACAAACTGGATTTGTTAACAGACTGTGAGGAGTGAAAAAAAAACAGCAAATCACCCATTGATTAACTAATAGCCTTTCAATTTTGACAATTATTTTCTTTATATTGTTTGTATTTCGTTTATTTATACAATAATTTGTACTTCTTTTATATAATACAACCAGCAGATTGGATTAAAATTTGACAACTTCACAAAATTGTACATACAAAAAATGTTTCAAAGTAAATTACCTGTGATACGAGAAAGTTATTGAGAGTAAGATTAATTTAAAAAATAACATATAATAACATTAACCCACCCAGTTTATTATTGAAATTTATATCATATTTGAGTAATCGGACATGAATCATTTAGACTGTATTAATCAATACCAAAGATAAGTCATTACCTTATAATTTATTATTTGCTATAAATTTCTTGAAAATTTGATTTACCACTTGTGAATCTATTAGTTCTACCGAGTGTAGACCACCTGTGATCTTGATTAACGAGCGACCTCCTTTACTACGGACTTGAAACAAGCATATACAAATAAAAGTATTAATTATTGTTTAATAACCAGTTACAGGATTTTCCGTAAATTGGGAGCAACGGGTCATTTATTTGTTAAAACTACAAAAATAAATAAACAAGAAAGTTACAGTTTTATAATTATAAAATTTATAAGTTATAAATTTTTATAAGTATATATTTATAAGTTATAAAAGTTATCAATCGGCATCCGCTCAGGATTAATAATACAAGAGGTTTTTTTAATCGCCTACTGGGTAATGGAGAAATTGTGTTTGTGAGATCTTGCAGCTTGGTAGAGAAGAGAGGTAGAGCTTGGCAGTGGTATAGCAGTGGCGTATCTAGCCGAAGATGGTGGGTTCGAATCCTGCTCGTGACACTGACTTTTTATCCCAACTAAAAACTTTAATTAATTGAAATATATTAATTGGTCAAGCAGACCAGAAAAACTAAAACTAATGAATGTAATGAGTAACTATCTAAGTCGGATTGAGAAACTGATTCATTGTATAAATTAGGACAAGTCATGCAGTGGAGTGTAAAACAAACCTTTTTTTTATGTTTATTTGGAAGCCGTGAGATGCGATCTGGTGTGACGTACGTTTTAGAAAAACATTTCCTTTATCGTGCCAATGTTTCGATCTTTATCGAGATCATCTTCAGGGCTCAAAGAGTTTGTTTTCCGTGTAGCTATGTCATTCTTGTCTGTCGTGTTGAGAATACCCCCTTTTTTTAATGTGTTTAATGTATGTCGTTAATTCTCGTAATTGGTTGTGTTTGGGTGGCATTTGTAAAGTTAAAATTGTTTTTGATATGAGTAGGAAATACGTTGTGTTGTCTGCATTTCACTTTCAACTCGACAGACAAGAATAACACATCTACACGGAAAACAAAAAAGCAAACACTTTGAGCCCTGAAGATGATCTCAATAAAGATCGAAATGTTGCATGATAAAAGAAATTTTTTTATAAAACCTACGTCACACCAGACCGCATCTCACGACCTCCAAATAATCATCTAACG